CGGTTCTGGTCCATCAGTGTGAACGCCTGCGGAGCCGGCGCCGTCAGCCCCTCCCCCATCTGCTGGCCCCACCACGTGGCCCCTGGGACCCGCTCCCTCCCTGGGAGGCCCACCCCCCTCCCGGGCCCGGGGTCCTGGGCCCATGGGTGCTCTCGCCGTGGGGGGCGCACCTCCTTGAACTCCTGGATCTGCGTCTGCTCAAAGTTGGAGAAGACGTTGGAGGAGGCCCTCTGCGCCCGCAGGGCACCCCCCTCCTTCTTCTTGGTCTTCCTGCTGGCCTGCAAGAGAGCCAGCGCCGGCGTCCTCCAGGGCCCAGGGTGGGGGGCCGCGCCCGCGGGGGCTCGGCATGCGTGTAGGAGGCAGAGGTCCCTGGGACCAGGGGCTGGGCTGGGCTGGGGTCTGGCTAGGAGGAGGCTGTGCCCTGAGACCCGAGGAACGGGTCGCCAGCTGGGTGGGCTTGCTCTGGGAGGGGGGTCTCAGCAGGGCGGAGCGGTCTCCCAAGCCCAGTACCTCCGCTCATCCTTCACCCACCGCTTCATGCAAACCCTCACCCAAACTTTCACGCCTTCATCCTCCTCCCCCTCCTCACTCTCCCTCTGACCCTCACCCTGACCCTGGCCTTCACCCTAACCCTCACCACCCTCATGCTCTCCGGGCCCCAGCAGCCCACACCCTGGCCGGCCAGCCGCTCACCATGCCTGGTTTGCCAATGAGCCCCCTGTGCCAGCTGCCAGGACTCGCCCGTCTTAAACTCCTGCCTGGTCCCCCAGGACGGCTCAGACCTCAGCCGCCGCTCCCTACAAGGGCAGGCTCCTGACCACCCCGGGGGACCAGACAGCTGCAGAGTGACCCAGTGCCCCTCCCGGCCCTGTGTGTGCTCATCCTGAGGGCCCAGGGGGCCCCCACCAAGGAAGGGGGGCCTTTTCCAGATATGCAGAGTGGCCTCCAGTGGACATGAGGGTGGTGGTGGTCATCAAGGGCTGTGTGACAAGAATGGTCATCAGGCCCCACCTCGGCCTGGTCCCAGGACCACCCTTCCGCCCCCATAGCTGGGGCTCCTGCCTGGCACCAAGGCCAGTGACCTGTCCTGGGTGGGAGGGAACTGGTGGAGCCGAGGCAGGCACCCCAGCCTCCTGGGCTACAGGGTTCTCACTTCACCCCCTAATCAAGGACCAATCACAGGCAGCATTCTGGTGGGGGCCAGGCCTGCAGAGTGAGCGGGGTGCCCTGATATCACGAGCCCCAGGCCCTGGTCGGGGAGAGGACCACTCGGGCTGTCTGAGGCCAAGCAGAGGAGTGGTTGCCAGAACTTAGTCTGGATGATCTTACTGCACCCAGTGTCCTGCCTTGAGCCCCTGCCCCACGTGGCCCCCAGAACCTGTGTGTGGGTGGCAGGGTGAGGGTGCAAGACTGGGTCCCCAGGAGGGCCTGGCTGCTGAGCTACATGTGCGTCTGCCAAAGCAGTCCCCCCAGTCCCCTCCATTGGGGTCCCGACCCCCAGGGGACACACAGCCCTGAGGACAGGGTGCTAGAGGTTTCTGGGAAGATTCTGGCACACGGCAACCCTGGCTGGGACTTGTCACCAGGTGAGGGAGATGGGATGCTGTGAGGCCAAACCTGGGGGAGCGAGCAGCGACAGGGTCCGGCTGGGGAGACCCCCACAGGAGGGCATGGCTACCGGATGGGGCTGGAGTCAAGGGCGAGGTTGAGGGGTGGTTCTAAGGCAGGCAGGAAAGGGGGAGGCTGATGCTAGGGGGAAACTGAGAAGGGCCCAGGGAACCCCCTGGGGAGCAGAGCTGGAGCCAGCTCTAAAGATAACTGCTTGCAGCCCCAGAGGATGCTGGGAGTCGCGTGGCCTCGCACTGGATGACAGGTGCAACTGCATCTCAGAGCCCTGTATCCTGTGCCAGATGGGCACTGAGACCCCAGGGAAGGGACCTGGGCGGAGTTAGGAGTGTGAGTGTGTTCTGAGGGGAGCCTCTGATCCGTGACACACACACACACACACACACACACACACACACACACACACACACACACACACACACACACACACACACAGAGCCTGGCTGTGTGGTCTCCTCCCCCGTTGGGACCCAGAGACACTTACTTTTGATTCTGGAAGCCAAAGCTGCTGGGATGCCTGGTCTATTTAAAAATTCAGTGTAAGCAAAGCTCACTTGTCAGCTGAGGTCAACGGCCCAGCTGCTTCAGGGCTCTGGGGGCTGATGCTGGGGTGGGGAGGGATGCCTGAGCGAGGTGGCCCTGCTCCGGGGTTTCCCCCATTCCTGTGGCAGTGTTGAAGTGCTTTAGAAGCACGGGGGAGCCACAGCAGGGGCAGCTGGCCCGGCTCCATGGGGTTGGGCAGAGCCCAGGCCACATGCCTATCCACTCTGCTGCTCCCTGACCCCCGGCAGGAGGCGGCTGGGGCAGGGCCTGGGGTCTATGGAGCCACAGAGGCTGAGGGGTCGGCACCACATGGGCTCCTGGTCCCAAGAACTGGGGCTCAGGCAGAAAGGCTTAGGGTAGGGCAATGTGCCCATGAAGGATCTGGGGTCACCTCAGAGGCGGGAAGGGGTGGACCTGAGGGCTCAGAGGTCCTGATGGGCCCAGTGTCCCCAGCCCAGCAAACAGATGCCAGGCGACTTCCATGAGACCAGGGTGGCAACTCCAATGTACGCACCCAGCCCCAGGGCTCCTCCCAAAATCCTCCCTCAAACTGGTGTTTCCAAATCCTCATTCCCATGAGTCATCACCAGGTGCCTCGTAACAAACTAGGCGAGACAAGGGCCCATCTTGACTTAAATGACCACTGTCCCTGGCTAGCATCCTCAAAGCCAGGTTCCTGCGGCCACTGCTGGATCCCCCCTGTCTTCGTTGGAGGTGAAGACAGGGGGGTGAAGACAGGACTCATAGTGACCCTGTAGGGCAGAGTAGAATGGCCGCAGAAGTCTTTCAAGAAGCCTCCCTGGGTTAGGCACTGGGCCGGTAACCACAGGGTTGCAGGTTCAAACCCACCAGCTGCTCCGAAGGAGAACAAGGAGGCTTTCTGCTCCTGTAAAAACCGACAGCCTTCTGGAGACCCTATATAAGGTCGCCAGGAGTGGACCGGCCTGAGTGGCAGCTGGACTCTACATGCACAGACCGCTGCATGCTGGCAGGGTTCTGACCCCTGACCATTTGGCCAGCGGTGGAGCGCTTAACCACGGGCCACCAGGGCTCCCCGCAGCGCGGTGCGCTCCTTAATAGTTTTTATAACTTAACTTCATGGGGACACTTCCCAGAGGACTCCAGACTGGGCGGCCCACAGCCGAACAGCCCCTACAGATTGTCAGGGCCACCGCGGGGCAGGGCCTTTGTCCAACCCAGCCAGGGGTCAGGAACACTCTGGAAGTGGGGGCGTGGTCTGGTCCAGTTCCTGTCTCTGCCCCACAACCCTCACAAGGACTTCTTGACCAGGGACCCTGTAGGTTCATTGTAAAGGTCTCTTTTGACACCCATGGATGTGATGAGGAATGGGAGGTAGACTTCTATATCCCACATTGATCCCAGGGACCACGGTGGGTGCCCGAGCACGGCACCCCAAAGTCTCTCCAGCCAGAGCAGCATGGGGTCCTGGCGTCTGGAATGGGGCCGGCTGCTGTCCCCAGCTGAGGCCTCCTGCTGATTCTCCTGGGGAAAGCTGGGTCCACATGAGGACCATAGGGTCACATTGCATTGCCCACTCAAAGTGAAGCCCGGTTACCTCAGGCCATGCCTCCCCTCAGTCCAGGGCTGACCTGATCTGGGAAAAGGGGACAGAGCTGCCTCCTGAGGCCCAGAGGTCCCCGGAGGCCCAGATGCCTGGCTGGAATTGGCTGGCAGCTTGGGGTGGCAGGTCAGCAAGGGATGCCTGGGGCAGCTGTTGGTTGCTTAGTGACGGGAGCTCCCAAGGTTGAAGACGACTCGGGGTGTCGGGTGGACAGGTGGCCTGAGCAGGGGGTGGGGGTGTCACTGCAGTGTAGCAGAGGGGATGGGCACCCTTCTCCCGTGGGCCCACTGACACTGAGGTCACCCTGTGCTAAAGGTATAATTCCAACTCCAAGCCCTAGGGCCTTTCCGCCCCCCAGGGCAGAGCCAGGCTGGAGGGCCGGCCATGGGGATAGGTGTCCTTGGCATTGGTCCAGGGGGGCTGTTGGAGCTTGGATCCCTCTGCACTGAGTTCTGGGAGCGGGCTGTCCTGGGGAGGCCCCCGAAAGAATCGTCGGGTATCTCCGAAGTGGGGGGCCTGCGCCGCTTTGGGTGTGTGATCTGTAAACTTCATGCACTCCGCTCCAATCTTTCAGAGCGGTGCGTGTCCTTGGGCCGGACTCCCCCTGGTCCCGGAGGGGTGGGAGGTGGGCGCGCTGCAGCCGGGGCCGGGGGCGTCGCGCAGGGCCAGGCGGGAGGAACACGAGGGGACAGAGGTCCCCCCACGCCCAGCCCACTCCGGGGAGAATCCCACGCGCCCCCGAGCGCTCACTGCGCACGCGCGGTCATCGCGGTCCTGCGCGCTCGGTGACGTCACCCGCTGAGCAGGGCGCGCGCTGTTCCCTCTCCGGCCACCAGGGGGCGCCGCGCCCACGTCCTCCCTCCGCCAGGACGCATGCGCTCTGCCTCGGGAAGCGCAGTTCCGCTCTCTGCGGCGTCTTCTTCCGTCTTCGGATTGCGCTTCCGGTGCGAAGGTCAGGGACAAGATGGTGCCCCCGGTGCAGGTCTCGCCGCTCATCAAGGTGAACCCGGCTTCGCGGCCGCAGACCCGCTTCTCGCCTTTTTCGTGGGCCTTCGCGTGTCAGGCCCCGCGCCCCTGCACCCCGCGCCCCCGTCTGGCCGGGTCCCCAGGCGCCCCGACGCTCATTGGCCCTTCTGCGCGGCGCCGCGTCCCCTTGCAGCCTCCCGTGACCTGCACCCCACAATCCCATTCCTCCTGGGTTCCCAGGTGCCCCGTCCCCACAACGTCTCCCTGGCCCCCCTGCCGCTGCCCGGCGGCCCTGGACTTGCCCGCTGCGGCCCCCGGGGTCCCCAGGGGTCCCCCAAACCGTCCGGGCTGAGGCCCTGCGCGGCCCCGACCCCGCTCTCGGGACCCCCAGCCA